TCTGAATACTTATCAAGAGTGCTCCAAGGGGCTAAAGCTAATCGCTAATCTGAAAGTAGCACACGTTTCATACAGGAAGATCACTGGTGACGCACCCTTCAGCCTCTGATTAGCAGATAATCTTTGCCGTCTGTGTAAAAAAAAACAAAAAAAAAAAAACAAAAAAAACCCACACAAATATTACAATAGTAAAGCTTGGTAAAGCAGCATTTGCATAAACTGATGTGGAAATTTGAGTTGATTAATAATAATCAACATCCATTCTTGGTTTCCTTTCAGCCATTTGCGTCTGCTGGTATATGTGTGACTATTCTTGATCAGGGCTGCAGGCAGCATCAGTATTTCAAAGGAATTACACGACCACTTTCTTGTGCTCTTTGTCTTTCATGCATCAGAGCCTTTTGCTCCCTGCAACATGTGCAGAAACATGAAAGTCAACGCAGAAAAAAAATTAAGAAAAGAAAAAAAAAAGGGCAAAAGCAATGCAAGAGACTGTAAAAGTTGGCGGATGACGATCTGCAGCCTGTTACGGGTTGAAGTGACCCGTTTACCTCCCAGTCTGTGGCGAGACAGAGGAAGAGCAGAGAAGAAGAGAGACCTGGAGCTCTGCTTACATCTGTCCAGTCAGAAGCAACATGCGCTGAAGAGGAGACGGGCGCAGAATGGATTGAAGCTGGTGGACCGTAAATTAAAGTATTGATTTCAGGGTCACAGTCATAGAATGGGGTTTAGAAGTAAATTGAAATGAACATATCAATACATCAAGTATATTGCACCACAAGTACACAAATACACTTCCTCGAATACATTATGAACCATGTTTAGACTAATTGATCGTCGATTAATGGCATTTATCAATGCTGGGATAAAACTCTTCCACATTTTCTTGCGTCAAAGCGTTTTGCTGGTACTTCCTGCGAACTTTTGAGAAGTTGGTAAAACGCAACGCGTGGTTGGAGTCTAGAAAACATGCGGCTGGATTTTATACATATCTAAAAGGAATACAAATGTTTACAAATTTCCTAACATTTTAAAAACTGCATGTGCTTTGTTGTGAACCATCTGCTCTGTGTTTGTCAGACAAAGTAACAATAAAATACATTGAAGATGTTTGGCTGTAAATGTGTGAAAAAGTTGAAGCGGGATCAATTCTTTTGCAGGGTGCCGAATGTAAAAATTGCATGAAAATGTTATGGTGATTGTAGCGAATCACACAACTGAATGCAAGGTTCGAATTGTGATCACGGAGATATTAAACACTGTCTTTTGGAAGCATGCGCCTGGTAATTTTAATAATTTCGGGCTTGCTAACTGTAATAAGGCTTCTTTTCACCTACGCCGCATCTAAAATTATACAGGCAGGTCATCAACGGTAATTTGTCATTCATTATGAGCTCTTTTTCAGAAGTAATTTCACTGCACAAATTTGAGAACGAGAGACTTTGATAAACAGCGTGAGCAGCTAATCGGAGTCAGTATTTCAAACGCGAAAATTCATCTCATCTGCATAATAAAAGAATAAAGAGCACACCATAAAGTGAACACTCAGGAAAGGTTAAAGTACTTCCAATTTATGGGTCAGAGGGAGACGCTTTAGTGGGAAGAGGGAGTGAAATTACTCGGCTGGGAGACCAACAGAATCTCAGTGTAAAGACATGGCAGCCAATTAAGAGAAAGGTCAAACTATAAAAGAGGAAGCGGCAACAGGGAGGCTTTGCACACAGCCTTACTTTTCAACTATCCCTGCACAATATATCTTCTGCTCACAGTGCATTGTTTATAATGACAGCGTGCTTTATGGATACAGTTGCTACACCATTAGAAAGTCTGTGGCTGTGTTTGAAATTAAGCTCTTCGGAAACCTTGTTCTTGTCAAAACTTTGATTGATTTATTTATTGAGGATATTTACCAAGTAGTCACAGGTACAGTGTCACTTTAGCACCAACGATTATCATCTCTTTTAAATGCGTATAACCTTAAGTTTCTTTTCTGTTTTCTTTGACACAGGTCATATGAGGATATCTGGAAGATGAATACGCGCCATGCGGGATGTTTCGAATGATCCGAGATGACATTTTCTAATTTAGAAAAGAAACGGTTAAATAATAAAAATGTGTCCCGTATGAAGCTTCACAGATGAAGTCCTCACGTATTTAAAGTTATATTTTTCCAGATGCGTAAAAATATGTCAATCTCTGCTTGACCGAACACATCCACTGTTTAGACATTTTTTTTTAAAAAAAGCAACATTCTAGACTTAATCACGTTATTCTGGAAATAGTCATAATTGGGCTACAGTACAGAGCAAGGAGCTGGAGCTGTACAGAAAGAAAATCTTTTAAATATGTTCAAATAAAATCTAACCATGCCTAAAACTCAAAAGTGAACATCTTCTCAAGATGTTTTTGACGTTTCCTAGAAGAGAAGTCTAAATATAGAGTTATTTTATTAATGGATGTTGACATCCAAACAAGGAAAAGCAGAATGAGCCAGGCAAAAATTCATGACTTCTAAATTATTAACACATCATCTTTACAATGTGAAATAAATATTGAAATGCTTCAATGTGCTGAAATTATCCATTAATTTATAAATGTGTGCCAGTCAATCTTTTGTCCGTATGGCAGAAGTTTTAATTAGGACAGCATGCCAAACAACTGAGATTTTTGCTTGTGTAAATAACCGAGTCTGGTTATCTGCACAGCCTGCGCAGATCGAATGTTTAACAACACCTTAGATTAAAACTTATACGACTGGAAAAAGTTATCTCTTACTAATGTTGAACTTGTGTATGTCGGGAAAACACAGAGTACTCAATTTTCATCGCTCAAGCCCCAACTCAAAAATAAACTTGAGGAAAAGAAAATTCTGGGGAGAAAAAAAAAAAAAAAAAGCTTCACCTAATTCATGATTATTCATTTAAGTCTTCCTTTATGCCGCCGCCTTCTATACAGTGAAACATTGACACCTCGCCCTGTCCTCACCTTCCACCTGCCTCTGAGCAGCTGGCCAGGCTCATGGGCATGAAAGCGTGGTAAGAGAAATGACATGTGTAATGGGAAGTGGCATAACAATTAGGGGGCTTATGCGATGCTGGTGTGCTTGTTGTGTTGTGGCAGTCGGCTACAAACCCGTGCGACTCTGCAGGCCCTTAACGTACAAATATAAACTCGCGACAAGTCAGAATTTAGGCTGTTTTATCTACACCTCTGAGGTAAAACTCTCCAACGTCCGTGAAAACTCGCAGTCTTTTGATACTAGCGGATCGATGTCAGTTACTGTCAGACTTGCTACAAGAAAAGACGAGACAATGATGGGCTTAGATGGGCGTAGAAGAAGGTGGCAGGAGGGAAGGGACTCATCGGGGTTGTTAAGGTAAGAAAAGGTAGGGCAGAAATATCTGAGGTTTCCTTTTCCTTGCAGGTGTAATGCCGCTCTGCGGCTCTTTGACCTCTGCAAACTTCTTTCTTTTCCCGACTTCAAATATCCAGAGAGGTGACAGCACTCTGTCACCTCACTGCTCTCTCCCTGAGGAGCATCTTTGCCTCATCTCTAAACCAATCAAGGTGCACCTACCTGTCTGGTCCTTCTGTCTGTTTACTCCACCTCCATTTTAATAACAGTCTTTGCTGCTGACATCATTGGAAACAATGTTTTTTTGTTGTTGTTTTTTTTTTTCCGGCATAGTTGTGACAAGTCAAATGTTACAAAGAAGGTCCTGGATTTATTTTATTTTTTTTGCTCCATACTTGCAACTTTACTTGTAAGTCTTTTGCAGTTTCAGTCAGAAACTTTAAAAAGGTCTTTGCTCACAGCCAAAAACTTCCTTCCGTCCACCCATCGCCTATCCCCGCTTGTACCAAGAAGTACATATTTTTTGGTCTATATCTAAATAGTTTTGCATAATAAGATCCAAAGATGGGAGTTTATGGCTAAAGGATTCATGAAGTTCCTCATGGGTTGAACTCAAACAGCAAAACGCCAACTTTAATTACATTTGAACCTTTTTAATCAAGATTGTTTTACTCAGCTTGTGTTGCTGAAGGGATAGTCTTCATCTTTAGCTATTCCTGTGTTCTGTTCGGTTTCCTCAGTACCATCTTATATCATGTACAAAGTTTTGGGTCAGTTAGTAAATTTCCCCACACAGCTGTCGGGTTTGCATTATCGCCTCCCCAGAATGTAAATACTCCTTTATTCTTGTCAGATCCTCCTGATCCTTATCCCAAATTTCAGCCCATCTTCTCAGTCGCTAAACCTGTTGCTCATTTATGCTCTTCAGTTCGTGCTCTCCACTTTGCAGCTTTACTGCAGACATTTTTGCAGTAAAGCTGCAAAGCGTAACCTAAAGAAAACAGGTTACACTTTTACAAACTTCTATTTCATTCTGACTAATGTACATTGGAGTTTTTTTCTATCATTGTTTCTGTCATGTCCCAATGTTCTTTCTTCAAAAACATAGGGAATACATACGTTATCATCTAATATTTTTTCTACATTGATTTTGATGCTAATCCGTTTTAATTATGCGTAGGTTATACAGCTGAGACTTGAGACTGGTCCTTGGAAGCTTCCAAGCTTCTCCACACGCTAAAATGAGTGATATTCATAGACACTTGCACACCGAAAAACCCGGTGGTGGGCAGCAGACATCAAGAACAGAAGCTCTCTTTTGTGGAATGTAATATGCAAGACAAACATCCAGCTTAGCATTTTTTAGCCCATGCTGGCGTACTTTGGGCAGAGTACAGACGTCAACGGTTTAGCCAGAAGATGAAATTGATGTCAGGGGAGGATAAAAATGAACTGACCTTAAGAGAGGGAGGATAGACAGCACAAAGCTTTCTTGCCTCATCTACATTTAGAAGCTCTTCTGGGGGACTGCCTAAATCAACCCGTTACCCTTAATTATCTCCAAGGAAAACTGTGATCCACCCCAACCTTTTAATATGAATCCCGCAAGCTGACATCTGACTAAACAAATAGACCACACAGTCACTCACTTCAGTGCTTTATTTTTTATTTTTTTCATATATTAATGTTGGCCAGGAGCCTCGTTCAAAATAAATCCATAGTAGCCTGAGCTGACCTGGTGCAATACTTTAGAAAATTTGTTTGTTTTTTTTCTTGAGGAGTGGAAGGGTGGTAGGTTGACTAAGTCGTTCCGTCAGTCTCATTTTACAATGATAATTTATATTAAGAAGTGTAAATAATCCATCGGAAAAATATGCTCATATACAGTTTGAACAAGGCCAGAATCAGTGGATTACTGGTGCAAAAAAATCACAAACGTTGAGTGAAAATCTTTCAGGGTTATGCCCTGCGGTAGCTCTGTGATCCTATGAAAAGCTCACTAGTGAGGTGAATGTCGAGGTTTCCCTGCTGGACTACGCATGGGGGTCTCGGAATAGCTAAAGATGATGGATGGACGGATGGCAGTAACTTCTAAATGCTTAACATATTTATAAAGTTCTCCAGATGCATCTAGCGGGTCCATACTGATCCCTGTGTCACACTCAAACGGATCTGCTATTTGTCTTCCAGCTGAACACCATAAACATTTGATGTAAAGCCACACCAACTATGACGGCGATAAATCCGAAAGGCAAAGCAGCTAAAGATGGACTTGCTTGATTAAAGGTTGTATGTCACTTCTGCTTGCACTCAATAGCCGTATCATCTATTCAAGTTAGGACTGCAGAATACGAGGATGTTGCTGACAGCGGAGCAGAATGGGAGTTCATGCTACAAAGGCCTCACTCTAGGGGGCTGCAGTTCTGGCAGCAGTATGTGTTTACATTGTAATTAGGACTTAATTGTCCTAATTAGAATCCCCAAACCCTGATTACTCAGAGTCCTTACAACCTGCTGAGCCAAACGTCCCGACTCCGATGCACTCTTCAGCTCAGAGACTGTGCATAAGGTCTGCTCCGAGAGCATGGTGTAATGCCGATATGATTTCATAAACTCTCTAATGACTGGGAAGCATTTTCTCAAACCAATCCAGGACGCTGGTTGGGAAAGAAAAAAAGAGGACTTTCCTGGGGAAAAAAAAGATGGCTCTATGCTGGAAGTATTATTGCGATGGGGGGAAATGTACATATGGCAAACCTTTGGTCACATCGGTTTTACAAGTCTTTCATTGAAAATAGTTACATTTTTCCACCATCAAATTTTCTTCCAGTCCGTGTCCCTTTCTCTCTTTGTACTGTCTTCCTCCTCACTGTCCTCTTAGAAATCAGAGGGCATCTGTTCTGGGTGGCTGTGTGCAACAAGTGGAACATAAACACACCTGTCTCTCTCCCCCTTTTCTACCTGCTCACAAAGGGATGCTGAGCAGAAGGGCCCCATCAGTGGTCCGTCTGAGACCTGTAACCAACACTGCCAAGCCCGGCTCCCAGTAGAGCGCTGGGCTAAAACTCCAAACGGTGTGTGGAGAGACGTGGGGGGGGGGCGCAGGTTGGCTGGCTGCAGCTGTGCTGGAAGACATCATGCGGCATATCAAACCGCAGCCAGCTCCCCTGGGGTTCCGCATGGCTGGACGGGCCTCACGCTCTGGGACCCGCAGGGAGGCATCGATCCACAGCCGGCATGAGGCGCTTCTTCACGTCAATGAGGGCAAGGAGGAAAAAAAAAAGCTTATTGTCATGTATGCTTTTAAAACTTTTATGCATATTTATAAAGAGTATTCATCAAATTTCCTGTTCATTATACTTAATATTGTGACATTTTTTAAAATTGAAGATAGCTACTAATCACAAATTAGTCACATAGCCTTGTGTGTGTCTCCAAAAACAGAAATCTTTGATTTATTTTTTTATTTTTTTCCCCCAATGTATATGGTAATAATTCATATATCTTATCACATTTTACTGATGCCCACTCTCAGTTCTTCTAGGCATGAATGGTTGCAGATTTTCCTGCAGGACTGGCTTCAACTTTTGGAATACATTAACCGAAAAGATAAACGCTACATGTGAAAACCGAAACGGGGGAAATATTTTTATTGCAGGATTAATTGCCGGCAAAAACTAAAGGGAAATAAGTGGAAAAAGGCAATACATGAGGACAGGTTTCTTGAAAATTATGCATCAAAATTTACTTTTAGAGAAATAGAAATCTCAGTTTTCTCAGCATTGACATCCATCCATCTGCTGTGGTGAGGAGAAAGGCAAATGAAATCCTAAACAGCTGAACAATGTGGAAAGCCTTTAATTCTCAAGTCATTCTGTACTAAGTGGAAGCAAGCTGCAAAAACAAAAAGGTAAAGGGAAAAACAGTCCGCATATAAATCACCTTCTTTTATTTATATGTTCTTTTGTTCCATTTTATCCTGTCAAGCTTAAATTGCTCTAAGAACTGTGTAGCCATGAAAATACATTAAAAACCAAAATATTATACCTCCCTCTCATGAAATCACACATGAAGAAAATTATTGACAGATGTCAGTCTGAAAAGGGTTAAAAAGGCATTTTTAACCCTTACAATATGAGAGACATTATCCACAAATGTAGCAAACATGGACGAGTGGTACCCTTTCCTGGCTAATAAAATAAAAATATAAATAAATAAAAAAGAGAGAGAGCATCAAAGACTCATTCAGAAGTAAAAAAAAAAAAACCCAGAACAACATCTGAAGCATTCCAGTCCGGCTTGTCTCAGTTTAGGTCAGTGTTCATGATCCAACAACAGGAAAAAGACTGGCATAAAAAAAAACATTGAATCTGTGGGAGAGTTCCAACGGAAAAGCTACAGCCAAATCACAAAGAACATGCAGGTCTGTTTCACATTTACCAACTAAAACCTTGATGCTTTCCAAGTGTTTGGGGTAAATGTGCCGAGGACTAATGACGTAAAAATGGAAGCATTCTTAACGTGCGCATCCTGTAACATCTGGGGTAAAACTGATGCTGAATTTCAGAACGAGTACATCATACCAGTGAAACGTGACAAAGGATGTTTAGTATCTAAACAACTTTTAGTAATTGATGGAACTATGAACTATCTGCTAGATGGAGCTGATGGAGAATATCCTATTAAACAAATTGAGTCAAATGTTAGCAGAGGTAGAGCTTATTTTTCAAGCTGGCCTGTTACCCGTACTACTCAGTGGATTTATTTGAACTTTTTGCCGTTTTCATCAGTATTTTTTAGTTTTTTTTACAAGCACCAACACAAAAATAGGGAGAAAAATAACTTTTCTGCTACAAAACCCTATATTGATCTATTAAAAAAAATGACATTGTGTATTTTTAATCCAAAAGTAGAAAAACACACAAACACCCTCTTGGTGTGTGATCTCTGCTGAGCCCTCACTCCTCACTCACGTCATGTAATGAACCAAGTCCTCTCACTAATGAGGCTGGCAAAGGACTCCAGGGTCAAGTTTTCTGTCTCTCAATTACACACACACACACATGCACACACACATATATACACTCGCTGCTCAGACTCACTTTTGAAGAACCAGCTGCAGAATTTTACAAGCTCTTACTTAATTATAAAGGACGGGTCAGAATCTCTTATTATAGAGTTCATTTTGGAACCCAGAGATGACACCAGATGACGAGTGTCCTCTTTTTTTTTTTTAATGGAGAAATGACACTCCTGCGTGACCTCAAGAGAATTCATTTGCTTTGTGAAGCATTTCCCTTGAACAAAATTGTGATGTGTGTTATTGTGAACTAAAGGGCTTAGAGACATATCAATAACTCGTGTTTGGAATTAATTCCCAGGCATATAATACATAATATCAGGGCATTTATTTGTTATTATTGTTGTTAGCTGCTAGTCGGCATTTGCTCGGCTTGTGTCGTCAAACGGCTCACGCTGTGCAGCCTCTGTGATGCATTATGTGGCGGTTTATATAGACAACCAGACAGCACAGGCGAGAGGTGGGGGGGGGGGGGATCCACTGTCATCAAAAGAGTGCTGGTAGTTCTGAAGAGGATTATGCTGAATGTAAGGCGAATTAAAATACAGATTTGAGTCAGAGGTAGACAGAGGCATCTTGTCACTCTACACCTAAAGTCATCCTTCACCGAGTGGCATTCACAATCACAAGAAAATAATACCTACATGCACGCACGCGCGCGCACGCACACACACACACACGAGCACAAAATCAGATTCTCCATCTCTGCAGGTGCTGTCATGGGCCCACTCTTCAGCCTCCCATCTTTTCCCCGGCTCTCCTCTCTTTCCTTTGTTCCCAGACTGCACACCGTCATGTCCAGGTCTTGCCTCTGGGGAGCTCAGCCTGGCAGGAGGCTTGTTTTCAGAGCTTTGCTCTTTTCTTCCTCTCCCACTCTTCTCCTCTCTCCTTCCTGGGTTCTTCGTTTGTACTGGTGCTGGCTAATTACCGGCGCATTCTCCCCCCCTGCCAACAGCGTGCTGCTGCTGCTGCTGTCGAGCTCACCACTCCTCCTTCCTCCCACCCCCACCTCCAGTCGTATGTTTCTCTCTTCTTCCCCCCGCTAGGAGTGAGTTGGGGAAGGAGGTGGATGGAAGGGCCGGGGTACAGATGTGTATTAATGAAGCGGTGAAGGGCAGGGGGTGACTCACAGAGAGAGGTGGGGGGGGGGAGAGAAAAAGAAGCAAGAGGCTATTTGCATGCAGAGACGAGTTTCACCTCTGCTACAATCCTCCGTCTCTGCCTGCTCCTCTCCCTCCAAATCCCCCCCCCCCCCATTATCGCGGATTCTCTCACTTTTCCAGCTACCCTTCTCTCTCCTCTACCTTCTTGCCTCTCTCCTTTGCTCTCCGGCTTGCTGCCACTGCTGATTTGAATAATTCAGCACAAGCCGGTATTCTCCAGGGCCCCATTGTCTGTGCGTGGCAGGAGAATGAGAAGGAGAGAGATAAGGAAAGAAAGGGAGAAAATAGAGAAAAAGGAGCATTGCAGGGCAGTGTGTCTGCGTGTGTGTGTGTGTGTGTGTGTGTGTGTGTGTGTGTGAATATCAGAGCGAGAGACAGAGGGGGGGGGGGGGAGAGGGAGAACACCTCTC